TCATACATTTTCTTTTTTGTTTGCTTTGGTGATGCTTACACAATCTGAATTTTTTTAAAAAAAATATGCTTGGGTTTTGCTGCCCACATGTTGTTTCCAAACTAAATTCCTGAAATCAGCTACACGTGAAAACATGCCATAATGAACATGGGATGAAGTGCACTTTACAATAAGTTTGCATACACAAATAAGCAAGTACAGTAGGACCCCTCATCCATCGGATCAGTATCTATTGATTCACTTATCCACAGCTTGAAAATATTAAAAATATTCAAAGAAATAAATCTAGAAAAATCTATTTTCACATGTATTACCACAATCGGACACTAGAGGGCTCCAAAGACCATGCTATGAATACTTATTAGTGAATAATACTCGCGTCTGGTGGTTTCTACTGGCATGTTTTGGTAATGCATATGGGGAGAATCCTGTCCCCCCCCCTTTTACCATTCTCTCTCGCATGTGATACATATATATCCATGGTTTTCGGTATCGGGGGGGGGGGCTTGGAACCAATCCCAGTGGATATGGGGTCCTCCTGTATACACAAATGAAAAGGTCTGGGACATTTACAGAATGTAGGCAAGACTTAGTTCTCAATCCCAAGGAGTTTCCATAATCTTAATTTATCCTTGCAGTAAGCTGCTTCAACATGGCAACCCTCCTTGTACAGCTTACCACATGGACCATCTCTCCCTGTCACCACAGAGAATTCCTGTACTAGCCATCTCTAGGATGATCTGCCATGATTAAGGATATTTTTCATGACACTATGAGGTTCCATGGAGCACAGAGTGCTATTCCTAACACTGTGCAGAGCTGAGTATGCAAGCCAGTTCTCATACTTGTTCATTCTGAAAAACAGCCATGAGAAAAAAGGTGCTTAGCAGAGCAGCGATCAACCTGTGTTAGAACGAAGTGTTCCTCTGAAGAGCAGGACTTTTCCTTGAGGACTTCAATAACGGGCACCATGTCTTCCTGAAATACATCTATGGGGCCATTATTAACTTTTCCTGCTGCAGTATTGTTATTATCTTAATGCCCTAGTTAAGTTAGTATCTCAGTCGTCAACATGTCGCACCAACGGAGGGTTCCGGACACTCTTCAAGGACAGCCCCATGTAAACACACTGCAGTAGTCAAGAAGCAATGTAACAAAGGCAATGTATCCTGTAAAGGTGGGTTATCTATCTAAAAACAGGAACTCCCTAGCCCCTAAAATTTGGCTGATACCAACTGTTGTTTCTAAAATGCAGACCAGAAAAGTCTGGAACAGACTGCAGTTCCTCAGCACAGAGGAAGATGCAGAAAAATGATCCTGGAAGCCAGGGAGCTCATTATCTGAGATCGACAAAATGTACTAGCATTTATTCTAGTATCTGAGGTTTGAAAAGAGAGACAGAAGGCATGAAATAAGCAGCCATTGCCTGGCAACCTTTCACTTCCCTTCTTTACCTCTCCATCTTTAAATGCTAGGTAAAAGAAGATTTCACAAGATAATTAAGGGAGGTAGGGGAAGGTCAATAAAAAGTTGATTTATGACACATGCTAGAATAGCCTTCTAAGAATGTTAAGTAAGGATTATGCTCTTCCCTCTAGAGACAGGTAATTAAGTTCCTCCAAAGACAGATAGGCTTTGAAGTGGACTCCTGCTAAAAAGGTCGCCAGTTCAGCATTAGAGGATTCGTGATAAAATGGAGCTGCATGAAGGATGCTAAACACTAGGTGTGAACATCAAGAACATCACAAGCCATCAAAGATGGCTGGAGACCAGGACTAGTGACTAAGTAAGGCACTTTGCCAATCAATCCTTCCTTTTCACCAGTGAAATTTTACCACCACGCCGAAAGAGCTGGCACATTGTGAGAGCATTTCTTCCCATAGATAATCTGCTGCTTTCTAGTTGCCCCCAAAATAAGGACATTTTTAATAAGTGTGTACAGTGGTGCCTTGCTTAGCGACTGCCTCGTTTAATGATGTATTCGTTTAGCGATGGGTTTTTTTGAGGAATTTTCCGCATCGTTTAATGATGTTCTCTATGGGCGATTTTTTGCTTAGCGATTTCGGGACCTTGCTTCGCTTATCGATGACAGTTTAGGTCCCCCTGTTTCGCTTAACGATGTCCGTTTTCGCTAATTTAAAAGTGTCTTAAAATGTTCAAAAACTGTTTTAAATGCTTGGAATCGTTAGTGCACCTTGTAAACCCATTGCAGACTTAATTTGGCTTTGTTCTGACTCTTCGTTAATTTTTTGGTGAATTTTTTTCTCCCCCATTGGAATGCATTGAACTGTAGGTTTTCTACATAACGTCCAGTATCGCGCGGTATCCAGCGCGGCCACGGTGAGCATCAGCAGCGAGACAGGGGTGCCAGCCTTTTCAATGTGACTGGCCCGTTCAGCTCGGCGGGAAGCAGCAGCACCCCGCCCCGCATCTACGCAGAGCTCATACATGCACACTTGCGCACTAGTGTCCGTCACAGGGAGATGCAGGGGCAGAGCGGAGGTGCTGCGGTTGCGCTGCAGCCGTACAATGGTAACAATGAATAGCACCTTTTATTTGGTGTGTGGAAGGTGTGCGGAAGAGGGGGTAGTCTTATACGGCAAGTATATAACAAACTATATTTTGAGTGGAAATGCTGGGGGGTCGTCTTATACGCCCAGTTGTCTTATACGCCAGCAAATACGGCATATTCCAAGAAAATGGGGTGCTAACTGAAGCGACACTGAACAAGACCCTTAATTTGGCTTTGTTCTGACTCTTCGTTAATTTTTTGGTGAATTTTTTTCTCCCCCATTGGAATGCATTGAACTGTAGGTTTTCTACATAACGTCCAGTATCGCGCGGTATCCAGCGCGGCCACGGTGAGCATCAGCAGCGAGACAGGGGTGCCAGCCTTTTCAATGTGACTGGCCCGTTCAGCTCGGCGGGAAGCAGCAGCACCCCGCCCCGCATCTACGCAGAGCTCATACATGCACACTTGCGCACTAGTGTCCGTCACAGGGAGATGCAGGGGCAGAGCGGAGGTGAATTTTTTTCTCCCCCATTGGAATGCATCTTATACGCCCAGTCGTCGTATACGCCAGCAAATACGGTATATTCCAAGAAAATGGGGTGCTAGCTGAAGCGACACTGAACAAGGCCGTTTTAATATTCTGCCTTATAGGTGTACTAGCACAGAGCATGTAGCCTTCTCCTGGAGGCCCAGTCTACTTCCAAAGTACAGTATATATAGCTATATAGAGACAGCGAGTATCACCAAGTTGCCAACAGGTCATTCATCCTGTAGCAAATCAGCACTACACAAAGCAGTGTTATACATGGCGTTACTGTATTACAATGGCTGCCATCTTGTGCTGCTTCAAAACAGATTAGATCGGTGGTTCCCAACCTTGGGTCCTCAGATGTTCTTGAAACTGCCAGAAATCCTGGCCAGCACAGCTAGTGGTGAAGGCTTCTGTCAGATTATGCATCTGTCAGGATTGAGTGACTGCAATTGATCAAGCTATTGTTAAGTGTTTGTAAACTATAGCCTAACTCTTAGGAGCATGTAGCCTTCTCCTGGAGGCCCAGTCTACTTCCAAAGTACAGTATATATAGCTATATAGAGACAGCGAGTATCACCAAGTTGCCAACAGGTCATTCATCCTGTAGCAAATCAGCACTACACAAAGCAGTGTTATACATGGCATTACTGTATTACAATGGCTGCCATCTTGTGCTGCTTCAAAACAGATTAGATCAGTGGTTCCCAACCTTGGGTCCTCAGATGTTCTTGAAACTCCCAGAAATCCTGGCCAGCACAGCTAGTGGTGAAGGCTTCTGGGAGTTTTAGTCCAAGAATATCTGGGGGCCCCAAGGTTGGGAACCACTGGTTTAGACAAATTCACAGACAGTAAGGCTATCAGGATAGCTATACATTTTACTTCCAGTACTGGAGGCACATTATCTCTCAGTAGTCAATGTTGGGGAAGAAAAGAAGAAATGTACTGCTGTGCTCACGGCCTCTTTGTAGACATTCCAAAGGTATCTGAACGGCCATATATAAATTGCCACATTTTAAATTTGTACAAAAGCCACATTTATTTTCTGATCGTTAGATTGGATCCAAAGCCTCCCAACTGGGACTTCTAATCTTCTATGGCCATACCGTATTCAATGACCCCTGCACAAAAGTGGATCCTGAATGGGTGCAATACATATGTTGCCACGTGGAATGCAGAGGTGGAAAGAAAACATCCGTAAAAGTGTCATTCTGCCATCGACTCAGCTGATGTGCAGCTGTCAGAAATGCCCCAGGTTCACCCATTCCTACCTCATCTCCTCGTTAAAGCAAATGACAATTTATGACATTTTAACATGTTAAATTACAGTCTGTCTGAAACGCAGCTGGGTTTCTAACTGCACCAGGCCATACGGTCTTTAATTTTTAAAACCATTTTCACCTGGCTTTTAAAACATGATTTAAAATCTATTTTAAACGTAGATCCCCCACCCCACCCCACTTTTCTTGAACCTCACTTTGAGGGCTCAGGTGGAGGGAAATGTTATTTAGTCAAGCAATGCTTTATCTAACTTGGACTACTTCTAATTACAGATTTATTTATTTGATTTATATCCCGCCCATCTGATACATCTATACCACTCTGAGCGGTATCTAACTTGGACTACTGCTAATTATAATGTGCTGAACCAAGGAGTGAGAAAGCCTCTATGCATTGTAGGTCATATATGAGCATGGTGACACAATCACAATGGAACACCTATGGCTTCATCATTAAGTGTCAATCAAGCCATTGTATTCTAGGAATTTTTCAGTCCATGGTGAACAAATTCAAATAACGTACATACAGCAATATGTGCAAATTACTACTCATTACTATTTATTTATTTATTTTTAATTCCCTTTTACAAAAATTAAACCGCAACTAGTATAACTTCGCAAAAGCATGGGTGCGCATGTGCACACAAAGAAACACATATTCTTAACATTTTATACATACCTCCACTAAGGAGCTTCATCACTAACCAGAGCTCATCTTTCACTACAAAGGAAGTATAGTAGGAGACGATGTTGGGATGATGGCACTGACTCATAGCTTGTATTTCTTTCTAGAGAAAAGGAAAAAGAAAAACAGACTACAATTACATTTCTGCAGAAAACAGGAAGGACGAGTCCCAAATTCAGGGGGCTTATTGGCTGTGTAAAATGAATCAAATAAAGGTAAGAAGGTAAAGAAAAGCAGGACTGATAATCAAAGGAGATATGAAAGGTCAGCTCAAAACCACGAGAGCTGTATCCCTTTAGGCAGCAGACTGGCGACTGCATGTCTGAATGCTCCCCAGTGGGTCAAAGAATAAGGCTTCCTGCATATAGAAATGTCAGCATAAAGTTCTGATTACTTCTTTTCCTGGACATGCTACCTTTTATTGTGAGCAAATCCAAGAGGAAGGGGAGGTGTGTATGAAATGAGTGTGCATAGGCACTGTGTATATACCTGCATATGATAGATAGGTAGGTAGGTAGACAGACAGACAGACAGACAGACAGACAGACAGACAGATACAGTGGGGTCTCGACTTACGAACGGCTCGACATACAAACGTTTTGACTTACGAACCGCTCTCATAGGAATATATGGACTCGACTTACGAACTTAGATTCGAGTTATGAACTCTTTTTTTCCTTTTTTTAAAAGCTAAGTCATCTTAGGTTAAAAGGAAAAAAGAAAAAATATCCCCCTCTAGTGGCAGAAGGCGGAATAGCAGCTTCCCATTAGTTTCTATGGACGAAAAGAGCAGATACGGATTAAATGGTTTTCAATGCATTCCTATGGGAAATGCAGATTTGACTTAAGAACTTTTCGACCTGAGAACTGCCTTCCAATACAGATTAAGTTCGTAAATCGAGACCCCACTGTAGATAGATAGACAGATAGATAGATAGATAGATAGACAGACAGACAGACAATCCAAAATTAAGAAATCTAATTGGGGCTTAGCCAGCGTAGGGGGATCACTGCAGGATCACTTTGATCCCTGCTTACCCCTCCACTTGTTTTTGTCTCTCTTCAGCTTAGTTGTGTGTATAAGACAACCCTCAATTTTTAGTCTAAAGTTTTTAGACAAAATTATAGCCTTATACACGGAAAAATATGGTAATATAGTGGCCAAAATCCTATGAGTTATATCTGCTGATGTGAAGCAACTGGTGTGAATCTCACTAGTGAATTGCTGTAAGTCAAGAAGTACAATCGTACAACAGCAAATAGCCATGTTAACTACTTAAATTGCAGCAACTCCCCAAATAGGATTTTTGGCCAATATAAAGCTATTCCTATGTGTTATAAATGAAGGAAGGATATTTTTCTATGGTGCTTTTTTAAAAAAAGCATAACACTGTTTTATATTGAGAGTTTACCATATTCTGTTCTTTTCTAGGAAACTGATGTCAAAATCTCTAGCAGCCATGAGACTCACAGGACATGTCTGGACTAGTCTCCGGGGATGTATAGTGACTTAAAAGCCTTGTACAAAAAACTGGAAAATAAATAAAGGAAAAATAAATATCAAAAGGTTTCTTCAGTTTTCAAGACTGGGCCTAGGTTGGCAGGAAAAACACAACACGAAAAGTATTATAGCTGCCTCATACCTAAGCTGGAAAAGAAAGAAAGGTGTGATGTATTTTTTTAGGAAAGAAAAGACAATTTACTGTTTGCAATAAGGTTCATTTCATACTTGGTGATGGAAGATACAGAAATGTTTCCATAAAACAGAGCAGTGAGAGTATGAATCATTAATGAAGAAAATACTGCTTTCCATTATTTCTCCAAGACCGACAGAGACAAGCGCAAGCAGTAAAGCTTTAACAGCACCTTGGACCTCAGTTTGCAGTTTTCTCTCACTAAAGGTTACCCTCCTAGTCACACCACACCTGCAGAAGGACTCAGAAATGTCTATAAGCTGCTAAAATAAAAAGCTCTATTGTCCCTCCCAAACCATGAGGACAGCAATGTCCTCTTGTGGATCTGTGTGACGGTATCTTGTTATAACCATGTCACGCTGCAAACTACTACAGGAAGTGAGGTTCTGGTCTTTGCATGTATAATCATAATATGTAAAGCCTGTAGTCATTGGGACGTGGCAGTGCTGCGGGTTAAACCGCAGAAGCCTCTGTGCTGCAAGGTCGGAAGACCACCATTGTAAGATCAAATCCACGCGATGGAGTGAGCTCCCATCGCTTGTCCCAGCTCCTGCCAACCTAGCAGTTTGAAAGCATGTAAAAATGTGAGTAGATAAATAGGTATCACCTTGGTGGGAAGGTAACAGCATTCCGTGTCTAGTCACGCTGGCCACGTGACCACGGAAACTGTCTCCGGACAAGTGCTGGCTCTACGGCTTGGATGAGCACCGTGCCCTAGAGTCGGACACGACTGGACTAAATGTCAAGGGGGACCTTTACCTTTACCTAATCATTAACCAAAGGCATGGAGCCCAAATAACTTGAGGGGAAGAGGCTAGTCCTTCCTTGCACCCCTGCCAAAATCAGGATTCTGGCTCGTGGAGGGGCTTCAAGAGTATGAGAGCACCCCCACTTTAGACAGCTGCATTTTCCATGTTCAGCCCTACAGTCAGAGGAACAGCTAGTGTACCCGGCTCAAAATACGTGAGCAACAGATGATTCTTTTGCTCGCCCAAATAACTTGAGGGGAAGAGGCTAGTCCTTCCTTGCACCCCTGCCAAAATCAGGATTCTGGCTCGTGGAGGGGCTTCAAGAGTATGAGAGCACCCCCACTTTAGACAGCTGCATTTTCCATGTTCAGCCCTACAGTCAGAGGAACAGCTAGTGTACCCGGCTCAAAATACGTGAGCAACAGATGATTCTTTTGCTCGAACTCTACATCAAAATACGTGAGCAACAGATGATTCTTTAATGATCAAACAGGACTCTACATATAACCCACAGGTGAGTATATGTTGACTAAAATCCTATTGCTTAGAGTCGTAAGTCAGCACTAAAGTAGGCCCATTGAATCAATGGAACTTCTGGAGGAGTTAACTCTCCAAATCTGATTCATTCCACCTATACAGTACTCTACTTGTGACTTACTAGGGCTAAACTAATAGGATTTTAGCCACAGGCTCTTACTGTTACCCAAGAGTTTACACTGCAGCTAAATCGGCAAAATACTGAAGGTAAGATTCTTTAAGAGGAAATGGCACAGTGAGTTTTCTCGAAACATTCTCTACACAAAAACTGTTTTGAGAATTAAACAAGGAACTGAAGATGATGAAAGCTTGAAGTGTATTTCCGGAAGCACAGTGACCAAAGCTGATACTACAGAGTTGTGACAATAATAAAAACAATAGTAGCAACTTCAGCAAAAAATAAATAAAAAAATGAGCACAACAATCCTGCTTAGCATGTGTAAAGAGCTTTACACATAAACATGGTCTCAGTGGCCTTTGCCATATCCAAGCATTCCACGTAGGGTGTCATTTATTCTGTTCATTGTGGCTTCCACAGGGTGCTCCGACTGGCCTTGACATAAAAACATGAGTGTGAGTTGGGGAGCTCTGACGGCATCGTGATAAGAATGAGCGACTATTAACTAGTCTTCTATGTATGGGAGCTGTTTGAAGTCCTCCATGCAGAGCACGATACCATAGTCTCTCGAGACTGAAGGATGCCTATTTTGGAGGCCACAAAGAAGAACAAATACCTTCTAGGTACCTGCTATTCCTATATCATACCCTTGGTGCAGACAGAAAAATGCACAATAAAAGTAGAACACCACTCCCTAGAAGTGGTTGGGACTTTTTTCTGTTTCCTCAGCCCAGATGTTGAGGCTGAGCTATAATAAGAACTAACATCAGCCTGCAGAGTAATTAAGATTGCTCCATTTTAAGCTCCAACATTACCATTCTAAAGACTCAACTATGCAAAGGTCTCCCTGTAATGATTTAGATCAGGAGGGAACCTCCAGGATTCGACTTCTTAAGTCTAGGCACACAAATCATTGTCACATGTGATGCATAATTTTGCACAGAACTAGGCACAGCACACATGTCCACACAGCATGAATGAGGAATCCAAGATTCCTTTTGAGAAATTTTAGCTGTCTTGTTTAAGAAGCGCTCTGCCAACATATGGTGAACAATGTTCACACTAAGCTGTGTGGGCACTCACTCACCTAGAGAGCCATCAGGATTGCGCACGGGCAGCCGTTTGTTTACTTCCTGTTTCGAGTGAAGCTCCACCTACCCTCGCGCACACACAGTGAGGCTCCCATAAAGCTGAACAGAAACTTAGAGGGAACGTTGATAGTGAATCTCAGCACCTCTCTCCCAACCTTTCTTTGCTCCCAAAAACGCGAACAAACCCACCTCCTAATATTGGTCTGTGTTACCAACAAAAGCAGGAAGCATTTATTCAGGACTGCGAGAAATAGAAACCTGAAGGCATGGGTTAAGATCCGTTGAGGAAACTAGGCATTTGCAAAGACTTGGCCCTATCTCAGTAAGAGGTTTTGTTTTCCTTTGTAAGCCAGACGGAAACATCACAATATACATAGCAGGATGAAACTGTTCAAAAAGCATTTTGGCACACAGGATTGTGGGGGAACAGGGAGCAATGTCTGACACAGCAACCCAGTTTTGGGGTCGGGAGGGCAGGGCAGAGGTGCCTTCCAGTGACAATATTTTCTTTTCCCCTGGCCCTGTCTAACCACCAAGGTGTCCTTGAGTTAACTGCCTGCCTGTCTCCATCCTAAATCTCCCACACTAATCCTCGGTATGGGCAAGCCCCAGCCTTCTAAATTTAAAACATTGCTGCTGTGTATGAAGATGGTATTCATCCATCTAGGAATGCAAGCCTGTGAGTTATAAACATATCCCCAGTGCAAATTGCCATAGGATGACAAAGTGTGAGAGTCAGAGGAGGACTGTGCTAGTTATGGAGTGTATTCTGAGCCTGTGGAAGAATCAAGCGCTTCCAAGATACCTGGTGAACTTTTCTCTCAGGTGAAATCCTTTTAAGGGAATCAGAGGAGAACCCCTGGATCAAAATCTCTGTTCTTTTTAAACCTCTGTATTGCACCACCCGTGTTGCC